ATATATATATATATATATATATATACACGCCTGTGTATAGCAATAGTTTGGCTGTAAAGTAATTAAAGTTGGTTTGTATAATTTATGTTAATACTATCATGTAAAAAGTTATTTAACATTATAATTTATCATAAAACTGACGTCRGTATATATTTACACTATATACCTAATACACCCGCTTTTAGAACTGAGCTGGACGAAAAAGCATATTWCAATGAGAGGAAATTCTGTAGACCATTTTAAGATAGTTTCATAGATGGTGAAAAACATTTTTTTCTATTTTTGGTTCCGTCTTCAGTATATTATTGAAGAATACAGAAAAACACCGATATTGCYCGTAAAAAAAAAATAGCTCAGAGACTATTTTTACATATTATTATCAGACCAAATATAATACTTCATTTCATAGGTAATAGATAGGTAGGTAGTTTACAAGGTCTCGAATGTAAAATAATATGTTATAGTTTTTTTTTTTTTTTGTAAGGAGAACCCGCGGCAACATAGGCCATTGTGTGTGGGGAGGTACGGTAGGGGTTATTTTTGTATATTTGTTTGTAGGTTTTTAGGTGAGCAGGGTTGTAACACGTGTTTGTGTGTGTGTGGCAAGGATATGTTGCTAAAAATCCCGGGTGGTCACCCATCCGGGAGCTAGCAACTGCGGCCGGTACGTACGSTCAGTGCGTTTCCGCAGATTGAGCGTACGACCGCGCCTCACCAAGCCACATGTTATAGTTTATTTTGGCATAAGTGGTCATAAAAAGTTACTGTACTGGTATATAATTTATTATAGSTACTCSAAAGGAACAATTTATTKTTAATCTTATCCGAATTCTAACCTAATTCCTTGAATCAAAACCTATAACTCACGGATCTTATGATTTTGTTTAGGTATACGAGTATTAATATTTGTAAAGTTTAATTATTAGTTTTCATTTTCATGTTGGCCGGTATCTACATTGTATTATTGTAGGTTACTTGCTACTCACTTATATTAAAAAATAAATATATATGACTATGTGATGTGTATGGCATATATTATTACTTGTATGTATTATACCTTAGGGGCAGTGTAAAATAAAAATCGAACTTATAGGTTTTAKGAACTTTTTCTGTGCCATGGTCACCTGGACACGTTGTCAAAAGGTCAAATCACAGACTATTAGATAAGTAACCATCCCAGTCACTTTTTTCTTATAATCATTCGTTTTTCTTTAGATATTCCTAACGGTTTGTCATATTTCTTTATTCTGTTGGTGTTTTGCAATAAATTATGTAATGGATTTATAGAAAGAAATAATGTACTAAAATGTATGTTATACCCGAAGGTAGGTTATTTACGCATAATGAAATACCGAGTATCTTGAGTTTTTGGTTTGAAAAATATTATCACTTCAAAGTATATTTACGTGTTAAAAAAATGGATGTGTCTAGTAAACATGAAAATCTTTTTAAGATCATATGATAAAAATTCGAAAATGTAGTATAAAATTTATTTATTTTTTATTTTTAAAAGAAATTTACAATCTATACCTTAGGCACAATGAGTAAATGTGAAACAGAATATATAAGGTATCAAAACAATTAATATTAATAAGTATAAAAATTAATTGTCGAGCTATAATAGTTTTTACTGAAAGCTAATTAATAAAAAAAAATGTTGCCATTCAAAAAAGTAAAAAACTTAAAAAAGTATAAAAATTTAATGTAGTTTAATGTATAGTATTTTTTATTAAGAATTAAATATTATAAATTGACGGAGAATAATTAGTATTGTCTTTGCATTGATATTGCATTTAGGTACCGCATATGTTTTTTTTTTTTAAATGTGTGTGACCGAAAGAGTTTTAGTTAACGGAATATCTAGAAACATTTTAAGTAAGAAACCTATTTGGGAATAACCCCACATGTTTTTTGAGCATTTTTTAAATGTTTTGTATGACGGACAGCCTTCATCATTTTTAGGGTATTTACCGAAACGTAAAGCAAATTAAACTGTCTTATATTTTGCTAAACATTAAGCGTTCGTTATAAGATTGATCTCGTTTAAAAAAAAAAAAAATACAAAGAYGGCACATTTAAGCGCATAAAAATAACATTTTATTTATGGATAAATTGAAAACATTGTTCTCCACATCAATTAACTCAGGTTCTTGTCGTCTCGTAACGCTGCATATCGTTAACACTGTATAGTATCATTAAGRCGGGAATGTACTTTTTTTTCTCATTAGGACTGTTTTAAAATTCAATTGTCCAGGACTTACACGTAGCGAGTAGTACAATTATTTATGTCGTTGAAAAATGAAACATTTTTGTTGTTGAGATTTTATTATGTAGTTACTTAACGATTCAAAATAAATTCTAAACTCGTCGTAACTTATGGCAATTGCAAACTCGCTTGCACCTTTATATTGTATAGGTATCATTATTATTTTTTGAACGTTTGTCAAAAGATATTATTTTCATTTTAGTTCATCAAAAATTTCACCCTGGACATTAACAATAGTAGGAATTCAAATTGTATTTATTTCAGTTGGTCTGGATCCGGTACAACTGATAGGATTTGACGCGATTTGATTTTGATTGCATACAATCGATAGTTAAAATTTGTGTAGTATAACAAGGTCATTTTGAAATCGAATATTTTTTTTATCGTTCTAAGTACTGGGGATTTTATATGATCACAAATTTTAGTGTAATACGTTAAATGCATATTTTTAATCAATGTTCTCTTAAAAATTAAATAGTTACTTTCATGATAAACTTCAAATAAGTAAACCCTATATTTCTAATAAATATTAATCATTCTTAATTACTGAGTTTTTTTTTTTTATTTAAATAAATAATAAAAAGTAATCAGGTTCCTATCGTGGTTTCTTCGAATATAAAGTTATAGAATTTAACTTACCTACTGCTTTTATATAAATATTTATTAATTTTTTTCTTTTGAATCCTTGCTTTTATAGTTGTATGTGCCATATATTATTTTTATGTATACATTTTAAGGACTAGTTCTCTTATTCTAATTATTTTGAGGTACACAAAATATTATATTTTACAATTTATTTTATCTCATATAATATATTGATTAAGTGATTATACATCAAAGCGTATTTTATGTTTGTATTCAAATAGATAAGGTTTGTAGGTTATATGGTACCTAATGAGTAATGAGTAACTTTTTTGTTTGTTTTAKTATAATATATATATAAGTGGTGAAAGCTCTCTTGGATATATAACTTCTATATATTTTCTATGATTGAAAAGATTTATTTATACTTTATTTCTGCTTTAAAATATTTTGTAAATACACCTACCTAAATTATACATATTATGAGTATTTAAATTAATAATTCACTCTAGTAGTTTCACACATACATGATTACTTATAAACAACACTTAATTACTTTTAGTTAGCTAATGGTTATTGGGAGTATGTACTTTTGAACTTGTAAATGTAAATGTAATGCCATGAAATATATTATTAAATAAACAAATAAACAAAATAAACCTTATGATAATTTATTGATTTATATTTATAATATCTATACTCGGCATTTGGGTATCTATATCATTATATTAATTGAGTTTTATTATTAAGAATAACGAGTGCGTGACATATTATTATGATACATACATATATGATTATGGAGAGCTTACCACAACGGGTTTTCGTCAAAATATAAATTTATTTGTGTAGTATTTAAAATTAGTAATGATAATAAACAAGATATATTTACCTACATATTTTACAGCGAAATAAATAGCATTTTTATGATACGTTAATTCTAGACTTTAAATTTATCCCATTTGCATTTGGAGCATGTTAAGTACAGCGTATTTAAATACTTGTCATCTTTGGAAGTATTGGATTTGAGTTACAATAAATTCAATCATTTGTACTCCCCAACAATGGAATATTTACCGAAATTGAAACAAATTTGGTTAGCTGGTGAGTAATGAGTTATAAATTTATTATATTATTATATATTTATATGTGTTAAATACTTATATGGCCTTATCGTCAGTTATAAGATAAAATTTTCTTATC